CACTCAGATATACAGGGATTATACCATCACAGATGGTCCCCTGTTGCTCTCTACGGTTCCCTATTTACAAAGTTAAGATTTAAAAGTTATATAAAAGGTGGTGCGTCTTAACCTTGTGCATGTTACAATTTGACCGTATTATGTTAGTATATTAAAATTTTGGATCTTTAAAACTTATCGAAATTATGAGAGCAAATCATCACTGTGCTTTGAGCCTGATATTTTTTGGCTCTTAGAGACGTGATGTTATTTGTTCGTATTTTTTTGTCTCTTGAGTGTTTATTGATGTTTTATTTATTTTTTTTTTTCACTCATTATTTATTTATCATTATAATATTTACAATATGGTGCATTTAAAATATAGGCTGTACATTATATATTGGCATGGGGAGAGTATAGCAGTAGTAAGATTTGTGATGATGGAGATGCAGAATGATGTACTTCAGCCCAAGACGACTGGAAACAAGGAGGCCGACTTACGGACTGAGGCGAGGTTTCATTGATTTTTTTTTTGTATCATCTGGGTGCGCTGGGCCCGGTGACCAACAAGAGGTGGAAGGTGTGGGGATAAGCCCACCCTACGATCACCAGAGCCAGCAGCCCAGAGAAGGTTGTTGTAAAGGTACTGTAGGGGGGTTCGGGGCAGGGCCGACGTTGATTTCCAGACTACTCTGCGAACCGTAGTCGGCACCGCCCGGAATATGTTAGACTGGCGGACAGACCAGGACTGGCGGATGGGAATACATTTTATGGTATGAATAACGGACGGTATGGAGCATACTCCAGGCTAGGGACAGGATGGTATAGGTCTGGTAATTATTTTAATATAATTTAGATGGGTCTAAAATATTGGAGAGATTTCTAGTAGGTTATATAATAGTTTGTCAATAAGTGTATTGACTGGAGGCGGCACTGTGCGATTGGTCCATATGATGTTGAAATAGTGGTACATGTGAGGGAACAGGAACCTGTCTATCCCCCATAGAAATCTGGTCCAGGGACCAATGACCAAGTCTTTCCTGAGGGTGTTTTTTGTAAAATAGCAAAAACTATCCCTCAATGGTT